ACAACAATGTCAAGGAGCTTTTTCTCGGTGTTTTCTTCTAGGAGTTTTATGGTTTCAGGTCTTCTATTTAAGTTTTTAATCCACTTTGAATTAATTTTTGTAAGTGGTGTAAGACACGGATCCAGTTTCATTCTTCTGCATGTGGATAGCCAATTTCCCCACCACCATTTATTGAAGAGACTATCCTCTCCCCATTGTGTGTTCTTGGCACCCTTGTCAAAGACTAGCTGACCATATATGTATGGGTTTATTTCTGCGCTCTCTATTCTGTTCCATTGGTCTATGAGCTTGTTTTTCTGCCAGTACCACCCATAAAATGGAATACAATGTAAACATTAAAGTGATGACATAGATCTATATTTATTGATATGGAAAACTGTCTATGTCACATTATTGAATGGAAAAGATCAAATTACAAACGAAAAGTATAGTAAGTATACGTGTATATAGTTAGGCACTGCATAACAATGTTTCCGTCGATGACAGGCCAAATATATGGTGGTGGTCCCATAAGATTAGCACGATATAGCCTGGGTGTGAGGTAGGCTATAGCATCTAGATTTGTGTAAGTACTGTAGGGGGGGGAAGAAATTTTCCTCTGTCCTTCTAGGTTCTTCTGACTGATGTAAGAATTAAATTGACATGAGACACATTAACAGGAGAAAAACAAACAAAAGTTTAATAGCATATACACATGGGAGAAATCCAGGAAAACCAAGTAACTCACCCAAATGGCAGAAGCCCTCAACTTAAATACCATCCTCAGCTACAGATAAAAGAAGGTGTTGGGGATGGGGAGAGTCAGAGATTACAAAGAGAAGGCAGGCAGTTCACAGGTAGGTGAAAAGGAGCAAACATTTGGAAAACAAATGTTCGGCCACATAGAAACAGAAGAACACAGAGGAGAACCCAACAAACAGGCTTTTCTAGGTTCCTCCCTTTCTACCACCTAGTTCATGTCATGCTAAGGTGATAGCTCGCTCCCTGAGGCAGGTTTTTTAATCTGAATTCTTTGAGGCAATTAAGGGGGAGGTAACAAGAAAAACTTTGCGATAACCCTCATGTTAAAGAGACACATTTTGGGGTGGCAAATTTTGTTCCACATTAGTACACTCTATGATGTTTGCACAATGAAAAAACCACCTAACAATGCATTTCTCAGAATGTATCCCTGTTGTTAAGCAGCGCATATTCACATAGAGAGGTATTTTAAAGGATGTTCATTTCTGGACAGGAGGATTTCAAGTGATTTTTATTTCATTCTTTATACTTTATGGCATTGTTTTCTTTTTATTATAGTACTATTTATTCTTACAACCAAAATATTTTATTTTCATCTAAGGACTTGCTGAATCATATTGATTTTGCTTACAAAATATCCTCTCCTTTATATTCATATAATTCAGGCCCTGTTTCAGGTCTTCGTTATTTCTTGCAATAGCCTCAAAGTAACAATAATTGCCCTGTCTTAATAGTAATAACACATGATATCTGTATAGTACTTCCCAGTTTACAAAATACTTTTAATACATTATCTCCACTGAGACTCAAAAACAACTTTATGAGTAGGTACTCTATTATTATTGTCATTTACATTAAAAAAAACCCTCCAAGGTTACTGACCTTGGAGGAAACTTCTGACCCACATTTCATGTATTTCCCATCACACCTTGTTGGACTTATTTGGGGTAAGGATAAACCCAAACTCCTTAACATGGTCTGGATGTAAAAAGTAGTACAGTATATTTTCCAGTACTGAGAGAAAGGTGATGTAGCTGGAAAGCAGAAAAGTGAGACTGAAGGGGCCTTAGATGCCACATTAAGGAGTTAGAATTTATCCCAAAGACAATGGGAAGCTGCTAAAGTGTTTTAAATAGAGGAGTGAAATTATAAATCATCATTGTTTTGACCAGGAGTCTGCAAACTTTTTCTGTAAAGATCCAGATAGTAAATATTCTAGACTTTACAAGCTATATGGTCTCTTGCAACTACAGTTGGCTCTCTGTGGGTTCTGCACCTGCAGATTCGACCAATCGTGTATTAAAAGGCCTATGATGGCTGCATCCATACTGAAGACCTACAGACTTTTTTTCTTGTCATTATTCCCTAAACAATATACTATAGCAACTATTTATATAGCATTTACACTGTATTAGGTATAGTAAGTAATCTAGAGATGATTTAAAGTATACAGGAGGATGTGTGTAGGTTATCTGGAAATATTATGCCATTTTATGTAAAGGACATGAGCATCCACGAATTTTGGTATCCGTGGGGGTCCTGGAACCAATCCCCCGCAGATATCGAGGGACTACTGTACTCAGCTCTGCCACTGAGAGCAAAAGCAGTCATAGACAGTACATAACCAAATGAGTTTGGCTGTGTTCTCATAAAACTTCATTTATGGACACTGAAATTTGAATTTCAATATCATATTTTTTTAAGTGTCATAATACTATGGTTCACTTTTATTTTTATTTATTTATTTTTTTTAAAGATTTTACTTTTTCCTTTTTCTCCCCAAAGCCCCTCCGGTACATAGTTGTATATTCTTCGTTGTGGATCCTTCTAGTTGTGGCATGTGGGACGCTGCCTCAGTGTGGTTTGATGAGCAGTGTCATGTCTGTGCCCAGTATTCGAACCAACGAAACACTGGGCTGTCTGCAGCGGAGCACGTGAACTTAACCACTCGGCCATGGGGCCAGCCCCTATGGTTCATTTTTAAATGATTTAAAACTGTAAAAAAACATTCTTTGGCTGGTTTTGGGTGGTAGGCCATAGTTTGCTAACCCTTAGTTTAGATGATGATCACTTAGGCTACAGTGTAAACTAGACAGAGAGGTGGGTCCTTGCAGGCCTGTTTCCCCAGGTCCAGCATCCTTATATTGACTTTTTAGTATTCCAGGCCTGTTGATATCATTCTATATGTCTTTTTATCTCTCTACCACTGATAGATGCTAATGCAAAAACACTATTTCCAGGTTAACTGTAAGACGTTTTTGGTGACTCCTTTGTGTTCCATGTGGTATTATTTTTAGTCTTTTAGGAAGAGATATCTTGGGATAGAAAACCATTTATATGCAGGGATAATCCTGTTTATTTTATAAACTTTTAAACTCAAAGAGGTAATATTTCTTAGTATATAGGCTAGACCTGAGGCCCCTGGCTAGATTATAATTTAAGCAGTAATAATTTATCTGTTAGAGAACATGATAAATTCTTTTAGATAATTTCAATGTGGAGCCTAAAATATATATAGTAGATTCATGAGCTTAAATGGAATTTTGTTTGAGGACTTAATGCTCTCCTATGGCTCTTTAATGCTTCCTTAAGGCAGACCTTGAGCTATAAATAAGCAAGGTTACATATGAAGAGTAGGGGTGCAGCATTCTGAAAAATGATTGTTCACTTTTACAAATAAAAAGGAAAGTGAAACTATTTCCCTCCTTTCTTTATTTTAGGTTTTTATCTTTTACATGTAAAAATCCTTATAGATTAGGGTTAGGGACAGCCTATCAGTAGAAAGGCTATTTGGAGTAAAGAGATTTAAACAAACATGGAGAGTTTCTTTATATTGTTACTGGCTAAACTGAGACTAGATGCTGAAACAGATATGATTTCAGAAAAAGTTTAGAAAGATGGTTTCTATGATTATGTATTCATTAATAATCAAAGCAGTAGAAATTACAGAACAATATAATACATTGAGACAGAAAGTTTGCCAGACGCTAAACATTTAAATACTCATCTCTTCAGTTCTTATCTTGGCTAGAAAAAAGATTGAGACTATAGACATAAAAACGTAAAGAAATGTGAAGAAAATCTACCTTTTACTGGGGTGAATAGTGGCAGAGGTGAGAAGGTGGAGATAAACAGGAAAGTCAGGGGGTCAGAAAATCTAAAAAGTGATGTAATTAAATTTCTGACACTGATGTCTGCATGCATAATTTTGGTGAAAAAAATAAAACCTTCCCTCGATATACTAATATGTCTGCTCAATTTGACATAACAAAATACAGATGACAAATAACAGAAGGTTAATACTTCTGAAGTAATTAGAAAGATTTTTTCATGATCAGTGAAAGCACAATTTATTTAAATGATGCAAAGTTAGAATTTAAATAACAAACTCATTCCAAAGACAAGTGACCTAATGTCATGAACCTATATTAACATCTAAAGCATCAAAGCTTAATTTAAACTACTAAATGTGTTCATTGTGCAGAAGGTACAGGTAAACAAGCCTTCCAGAAGTTTTTGCTGTGTTCAAGAACCTTTTGCTTTATTGTTTCTTTGACAACAATGAAATCTCTGTGGAGCAGAGTATGCTGAGAAACCAGGAAAGGAACTCCACCTTTGTTCATCTGATCTTACTGTGACATCATGGTGAAAGATCTTATAAAAATAAGAACCTGATGCAGAGCACAAGGATCTGTAAGAAACTAGTCGGTTTTTATTGTTCTGTAGATAATAAATGGGAGGACTAAAGTGTATGTGAATTTATAACTTCTTGGATCCACTTTGCACTGTGGTTACTTTAAAAATACAAATGAGAACATTCATAATTTCTTACTTCTCACTAATATCCGAGGGACAAACAGCACATTCAAGATCTATGGGACATGTTTTGCCCTATGTCCTGGCATCTGTAGCTGTGCTTCTTCAGAGAATGGATCAGAAAGACATTTAAGCTTATTAGATAGAAAGATGTCATCCTCTCACAGCAAGGTACACGAGGAAAAAAGTTCAAGAATTATAAATTCTTAGAAAACATAAAAAATCCTTTGGGTCCTGGCAAGGAAAATGTCAGCAAGTGAAAAGAGACTGGATGGCTATTGACCAGTTCCATGAAGGCAAAGCTGCAAGCCAAGATGGAATAATGCTTTCCCACCATGTGTCTAAGGCACAAATGACACTAATCCTTTTTAATGGTCACAAAAGCTGACAACTTACTCAGCCTTAGAACTGAAGGCACAAAATCATCTCTGTGAATGACTCACCATAAACAGGTCACGAGCACCAATGTCAACAGCTAACAGAAATGCCTTTTCAAATCTCTGGTACCTATAAGGAAGAAATGTTATATGTTAGTTATGAACAAAACTATATAAAAGGAGAGCGCTGGGTTTTTTTTAATGTGTTTATGTTATTGTTTTTGTTCTTCTGATGGGAAAAATATTTTCAAACAGTGGGGCCTTCGCCTGTTGAGATCTTCCATTGGTGAATGTTATTGTACCTAGGAGGAGCTGAGGCACAAAGCCTGTGGAGGCCTTCAGTGCAAATTTCAAGGATAAGTAATCCAGAGTGGGTGCTGCTGAATGTAGAGAAATGATAGCTTGGGAAATATGTTTCTCAAAATTTTTTACTTTATTGTGTTTTGTAAGAGAAAAGTATGGGAATAAGGACAAGATGGCAGGGTAAGTAATAAATCATATAATTATACTTTTGTGTTTCTTAGATAAAAGTTGAGAAGTCAAATGTTGCACTATTACAGAAGTCTGATATTTGTGAGTTTGGGAAAAAAATACCTTCTAGGCTGTTGTAAAATGATAATATAAATAGTTTCTAAATATTTTTAAAAATATTACTTTTCTGCTCTTTTTTCACAATCATACTCTCTTTCCTTAAAGTATAATTTTGAGAATTTTCTTTGTGAAAGTTTAATTTTAGGCTAAGATACATGTGAACAGAGTGGAATTTAAATTAATTACCTTTATAGAAAGTTTAAGATCTTTAGAGAAAAGCATGTCACGAACATATACTTTGCCCAGGATTTTGAAAGGAAAGGTCATCTTTATTTTGTCTGAATGCTAAGATTTAATAGATTTAACTCTCAGTTTTTCTGAACAAACAAGTAAACAATCAAGTTGTGCTCTGTTCTCTACTTTATATTGTGAAATATGGTGGTACAACATATAATGAGATTGCAAATAAAACATCAGAAACATGGAATATTATTAATAGTAGATTACATACATTTTATTACTGAAATAGCTGAAATAATTAAAATTCAAACAAACAAGTCTTATTATTATAACGTGAGCTGGTAGGTCCAGAACTGGAAACACTTCACAGTTTCCATGTTATGTTTGATGACTGTTATCCCCATCTCCTGCTTGATCCTTTTTACTAGTGCCTCCAATATTTGCCTGAGTCCCTTTCAACTATGGAAGATCAGAAGGCAATTGTGTTTATTTTTGTTCCAGGAAGCTTACTAATTTATTACATATTCAGTGGAGGTGGGAGGTAATGAGGAAGAGGACTAGCAAGTTGTACTACTGGTACATACATTCACTACCATTTTGCATTTGTCCCCATTCGACTAAAACTTTTCTGCTAATAGTAATCATTCATCTGCTAAAGATTAAATTTAAAGTTCTCATCTTGTATGCCCTTTTCACCACATTTGACTCTATAAACCTTCCCTCCTTGAAACCCTTTTTCCTTGCATTTTGAGATCCCATTGTTTGATTTCCTATTTCTTGGATTTCATCTTATTTCCTTTCCTAGTTCATTTTTCTCTGCCTACTCCGTGAGGTTGACTTGACATTCTATGTTCCTCTTTTATTTATATTCACTCACTCCAGTCTCCCCAATAACCTTACCCACTCCCATGGCATTCATAATTATTTATCAATGACTTACAAATCTCTAGGATCCATCTCTCTCCTGAGCTCCAAACACTCATTTCTAGGTACTTCAAATTTAACATGTCTAACGTGTCTGTTGATACATCAATTTGGCAACCATACATATGATGCGCTGAAATTGGAGAAGGTGAAATTAAGAGAGACAAGTTAGGATGTACTCTTTTTTCTAGGTGAGAGGGAATGATGGACATTATACTAAATGAAAGAACTGGCATCTGGCAGCATGGTCAACCAGAAATACCAAAGGGAGCTCCCAACTAGGTTGTTATAAAATATATGTTAAAGTACATCATAGGACTCTAAAAAAATAAGGAAATCTCCAAGGGTACCACACTCTCTATCAAAAAAATAACCAAACAAACAAAATCCCTTGATTGAAATTATGAGTAAGGATCCCTGAGCAGAGAGCTAATATATGGGGGAGGAGCAGGAGACACAACTACTCTGAGCACCATCACCCTCGGGAGACTAAGCTCTGAACAAGTCTCAAGGTAAAAGTGCTAAGCCCAAGACTTCTGATTACACCAGGGGCTAAAATGTTCCCAGGTTATTAGTACCTCTAACTTTGGCAGAAACAATTTTTAAAACTTCATGTGTGGATTAAAGCATTTTTGATAGTCGCCCCCAGGATTACCATAAATTAAAACAAATATGAGTTCACAATCAAAGATCACCAAATACACTAGAAAACAAGCTACTGTGATGGAAAATTAGAAAATAAACAACAGATATACATCTCCATGGATTTCAGATAACTGAATTACTAAAGATAATTTAAAATAATTCAATATACGATATTTAAATAAAGATAGAAGTATGAAAATAAGCATGTAACAATATACAATTAAAAATTACCTGAGATTTTTTAAAGAATAAAATAGAACTTTTAGAAATGAAAAATTTAATTATTGAAGTTAAATAACGGCACAATTAAAGAGAGAATTAGTGAACTAAAAGATTCTTAAATAAGGAATTACACAAAGTGTTGCACAGAGAGACAAGAGATTAAAAAATATAAAGAAAGGTTAAGCAATATAGAGAACATGAAAAAGTCTAACATGTCTAATCAAAGAATTAAGTTAATGGCTGAGAATTTCCAGAGCTGATAAATTATATGAATCAATAAACACAAGGGGAACAATATATATCAAACAGGATAAACTGAAAGGAATCTATAATTGTGCACATTTGTAATGGAAATGCAGAACTTCAAAAATAAAAAGATCTTAAAAACTGCCAGACAAAAGACAGGTCACCTACAAAGGAACTGCAAATAGACTGTCATCAGACCTTCAGATGGCAACAATGAGAAGTAGAGGCAATAGGAAAATATCCTAAAAATTATGAAGAGAAAATAAGCATCAATCTTGTGTAACAGTGGAACTCTCAACAATGAAAGCAAAATAAAGACACTCTCATATATACAAAACCTGAGAGCATTCAACAGATTTTCAATAAAGGGACATCCAGGGGATGTATCTCAGGAAAAAGGAAAACAACCTCAGAAAGGTCTGAGAAGAAGGAATGGCTTTAAAAAAAAGGATTCAGTTAATATACACATAGATAAATACACAGACACAAATGTTTTGATATTTTTAAGATCAGAAAATGCTAATTAGCAATATCATGTAAATTGGAAGGGAGTTAAAGTACTAAGGTCCTTCTTTTTGCACCAAGGAAGATATTGAACTAATATTTGAATTTGGTAACTATGCATAGTCAAATGTCAATGGTAAATCGTTTTCAGAAAAAGTTATTAGAGACAGAAAGGGTAAGAACAGAATAATAAAAGTTTCAAGTCTCCAGGAAGATACAAAAATTCTAGACCTCGATGCACTTAATAAAATAGGTTCAAAAATATATAAAGCAAAACTGATAGAATTAAAATAAGTGATGAGGCCACCAACATAATGGGAAATTACAAAAGTTATCTGTGGATTTTTGCTAGGCCAAGCAATTAAAAAATTAGCAAAGAAAAAGAGGTCATAACATAATTACAAAGCTAGATTTATTGGATACATAGAACTTGTCACATCCTTCTCAAACACACATGGAATCTTCACAAAATTATATTATGTAGAAAGTAAAAGTGCATGTCTCAATAAATTTCTTTTTTAAAAGATTGGCACCTGAGCTAACATCTGTTGCCAATCTTGGTTTTGTTTTGTTTTTTTCCTTTCTTCTTCCCAAAGCCCCCCAGTACATAGTTGTATATCCTAGTTGTGAGTGCCTCTGGTTGTGCTATGTGGGATGCCGCCTCAGCATGGCCTGGCGAGTGGTGCCATGTCCGTGCCCAGGATCTGAACTGGTGAAACCCTGGGCTGCCAAAGTGGAGCATGCGAACTTAACCACTTGGTCAGGGGGCAGGCTCCTCAATAAATTTTAAATAAATATTATAATGAATCTGTCAGCAGTGCAGTTTTTGACAAAAAGATAAGCAATAAATCCACATGCATTTAGAAATTAAAAAGTCATGCGTCAAAGAAGACATAATAATAGAAATTTTAAAATACTTAGAAATAAATGATAATAAAATATGCAGAAAAACTTGACCAAATGAGACATTTTGAAGACAAATTCATAGCCTTAAGCACTTACGTTAGAAAAGAAGAAACCTTAAAAATTAATGAGCTAAATATCCCATTTAATAATTTAGAAAAAGATGGGGCTGGCCCTATGGCAAGTAGTTGGGTTCATGAGCTCTGCTTTGGCGGCCCAGGGTTTTGCTAGTTTGGATCCCGGGCATGGACCTGGCACCGCTCATCAGGCCACATTGAGGCAGCGTCCCACATGCCACAACTAGAAGTACCCACAATTAAAATGTACAACTATGTACTGGGGGACTTTGGGGAGAAGAAGGAAAAATTTTAAAAATAAAATCTTAAAAAAATACTAGTAATTTAGAAGAAGAACAGAATAATCTCAAGAAGACAGTGGAATAATACGTTTGAAGTATTGAAAGGAAAAAAATTGTCACACAGAATTCTATATGCAGCAAAAAGTATCTTTCAAGAATAAGGTGAAATAAAGATATTTTCAGAAGGAAAAAAAAAAACTAAGAATGTGTTTTCACAAGTAGAGCTGCACTATAAGAAAGGCTAATAAAGGGGGCCTGGCCCAGTGGTGTATTGGTTAAGTTCACGCACTCTGTCCTGGGAGACCCGGGTTTGCCGGTTTGGATACTGGGTGCAGACTTATGCATGGCTTATGCTGTGGCAGGCATCCCACATATAAAGTGGAGAAGGATGGGCAGGGATGTTAGCTCAGGGCCAGTCTTCCTCAGCAAAAAGAAAAAAGAAAAGAAAGGCTAAAGGAACTTCTTTAGGCTAAATAATACCACATATTAGGCAGTGCCCCATATAGCACAACCAGAGGCACTCACAACTAGGATATACAACTATGTACTGGGGAGCT